AAGAAGAAGAAGAAGAAGAAGGATAAGAACAAGTCCAAAACAATAAATGAAATTAAAATAAAATAAATAAAGGGATTTCGAAAAAACAAATCCCAATGTCTCTAGAACAATTCCAATTTTGCCAGCAGCGTGTGGCGCGATTTCTTCGCTGGGTGTGGGCTCTCGACCTCGTCCTCGACCCCGCCGGAGCCGAACTCCGACCAGAACTCCGGCAGCGCCGGCAGGTTCAGATCGAAACCCCGGTGGCTGACGGTGGACGACCCCGCGCCCTCCGACGAGGCGGCGCTCCCCGCCTTGCCGCCCTCGTAGTGGCGGCGCTTGTGTCCCCCGAGGGCCTGCCCCGTCGGGAAGCTCCTGTGGCAGATCGAGCACTCGTGCGCCCTGCCGTTAACCGATGAGGTCGCCGCGGATTCGGAAGCGGCGGAGGGCTCATCCCCGGCGGCGAGCTTCCGGTGGCTGGCCTTGTGGCCGCCCAGAGCCTGGTAAGACGCAAAGGCCTTGTCACAGACGGAGCACTTGTACATCAGAATCGGAGGCTCGGCCGCCGGTGGCGTGGTCTCGGCGGAGGCGGCACCGGCGCCGCCACGGGCGAGCATGACAAGGCATAGGGCGAGGTACTCCTCCTCGGAGGGCTCGTGGCGGCGGCCGTCAGGGCTGCGGGGGCGCTTGGTCCTCTTTCCCTTGGCCCAGGGCTCGAGGTAGTGGAGGGCGGCTTTGTCGAAGTCAAACGACGTCGTTGGGGCGGTTGGCTTATTGAGGGCTTCTAGGGCCATGTCGAATTTGTAATCAATTGAAGTGAAATTGAGGCTTAGAAAAAGAGGAGAGAGTATTTGAGAGTTGGAGAGAAGCTAAAAGAGAGAGATTATTAGGGATGTGAATGAGAAGAGTAAGATTTACAGTTATATTTATAGTCTGAATGTAATGTGGAGGAGAAGTTGCGTGACAAGTGTTGAGGAAAGTGAGACGGTTACTCAACTTGATGATGAGTAAAATAGGCCAAAATGATGAATAAAATAATAATTCATTAAATTTAAATGCGAAAAGAAAGAAAAAAAGGGATGGATGGGGAATAACACGTTTTTTGGTTATTAGATTAGTTAGGGGCCAAGTGGAAGCTGGGAGTCGGTTAGATAGTGATGCGAACATTATCGCCAAACTTCTCCTTCTTTCATTTTTTTTTTTTTTCAATTAAAAAAATGGTATTTAGTTAAAATAAAAGAATACATCCTAAATCAGATGATCCAACGATCGAAAATAAGTCAATATTATACATTATTGAAAGATATAACATACATTTTATTTTTTGCTTATGTCACATGGGCCCCACCTCCTTCACTCTCTCTCCCCTTCTCATGCTTACACTGATTCACCGCACACACACAGAACACACGACACTCACTCACACAGACACAGAAACACACACGACTCTCTCTCTCACTCTCTCTCTCTCACACACACACCCCATACACACACAACTCTCTCTCTTTCTCACACACACACATTGCACACACACAACACATAGAGATGAAATGCCCATTCCACCATCGACTACCTCACCACTGGTCACCGTCGCAATCATCAAGCCACCGAGTATCGCCGCCTCCACTATCACGTCGGTCACCTCCGCCACCTTCTGCGACGTGCACACGAACGCAAAACTGCCACAGTCGATGTCGGCACGGCCCGTCATACATTGGGGACCACACTTGGGCGTTGAGGACCACCAAGCCGCCAATCCCTTCGGCGAAACCGGACGTCCACCTTAGCCACGTGCAATGCCGGATTTGGAGTGTTTGGCCACCAATGGTAGCAACTCATAGTCGGGGACGTCCCCAGCGGCGCGTCATCGTCGCCGCCGCCACCACCGCCCAATAATGGTTGTGGCGCCGCCGCCTGCTCCCTCTCCCTCTCCCTCTGACGCTGCCGTCGTTCGCTCCAAACACCTGTCGCCCCATCGCCGCCAATCCGAACACCGTTGCCGTTGGGAGAGGTTGGATTCCTGAACCAAGGCGGAGTTGGATTTCTCCATCTGCGACCACAATTTTGGGGTGAGGGACTTTGATTTCAAAGTTGGATAATTTTCAGGGACTTCGGGGAAATTTCAAATATTTCAATATATTTGCAATTTAGTTCATGGGCAATTTTGCAAATTAATAAATCCACAATAATTTTAAGTAAAAACACAATAACGCTAAGTAAAATGCACGATATAGTATGTGTACATGTACCTTAAAAATGAATGTCCTCTCTACTACACAATATTGTTAAGTAAAATACACGATATAGTATGTGTATAAAAATGAATGTCCTCTATACTGCACAATACTCATAGACAAACTGCACATTAGTGCCTGTAAGATTGCACAATATTATGTTGTTGTGCATTTACACAGATATTAATGTGCATTTAATTTATTGCTACTGTGCATTCCATAACACCGATAGGAGTGTGCAAAGTTCAATAAAAAAACCATAAAAAAAGACTACCAGAACCGAACGCAACAAAATTTTTGGTTCGGTTTTTTGCATGTCAGTTCAGCTATCAATTTTTTATTTTTAAATTTTTGGTTATTTCGATTTGGTTTCAACATTTTTTTTTTTAAAAAAGAAATAACCCAACTGACCAGACAAAATAAAAATATTTTTTTATATTATATATATATATATATATGTATATATTATTTATTTTCAGCCAACAATGACGTAAAATATTAAATAGAAGTATTAAAATACTAAATTTATCTTTATGATATAAATAATAATTTATTTAAATATTTTTTGTTAATTAGGCTAACCGATCGAATAAACTGATTGATTCAGTTCGGTTTTAATTTGGTTTGGGAAAAAAGTTCGATTGGTTCAATTTTTTAAAAGTTTGACTCCATTATTTAAATTTTGATATTTTAGTAGGTTGGTTCAACCGAACCAACCGATAAAAAATATTGTGCATTTTGTAGAGCGTTGAACAATTTGGTATTTTTTTTTTTTTTAATTTGAAACAGGTAATAATGTGCATTTAATTTGACGTTATTGTGCATTGTGTAGCGCGAATATGAGTGTGCAAAGCCCAACCAAAGCTAAAAAAATTGACCGACAATGGTTGCGATAAAAATTTCAATGTGTTTTATTATGTCGTTTCGATTGTCGATTTTTACTTTTCTGTTTCTGGTAGTTAGGTCTTGGTAAAAGTTCGGTTGGTTCGGTTTTTTCCAGATGTTCAACTCTGTTATTTCATTTGGACATTTCAGTTGGTTGATGTTGGGTTCTATTAGGAACGACAACAACATGCACGTTTGGAATTTGGAAAAATAAACCCTAATGCAGCGGAATCTATAGTTAGGATTAGGACACCCGTTTAAAAATTTTGCCGACTCAGAGACGTTTCTGATTTCTTTTGATGGAGATCGTCTGATTA